ACAGTATGGAGCTTCCTCAAAAAATTAAAAATGAAACTGCCTTTTGACTAAACAATCCCACTTCTGGGAATATATCCTAAGAAACCTGAAACATTCCTTTGAAAAAATTTATGCCCCCCGTGTTCATTGCAGTGTTATTTAAAACAGCCAAGACCTGGAAACAGCCCAAGTGCCTATCAGTGGATGACTGAATAAAACAGCAGCGGCACATTTACACGATATAATACTACTGGGCCATAAAAAAGAAGGAAATATTACCTTTTGCAACAACATGGATGGACCTGGAGATTATTACGCTAAGTGAGATGAGCCAGGCAGAAAAAGACAAATACCGTATAATTTCACTTGTATGTGGAATCTAGCAAACAAAGGAAACTGACCAACAAAAACAGAAACAGAGGCGTGGGTACATAGAACAGACTGACAGCTGTCGGAGGGGAAGGGGCCTAGGGAGCTAGATGAAAGAAAGGCAAAGGGTGGATAAATGCAGATGGAAAAGAGACTTCACTTGGGGCGACTGGTTCACGATGCAGTGTGCAGATGATGTTTTGTCGAGTTGTACGCTTGAAACTTGTATGGTTTTGTGAACCAATGTCACCCCAATAAATTCAATTAAAAAAGTATAAATGAACAGAAAGCAAAAGAAAAAGTTAGTATCATTAAGCAAAAACCCAACATTGTTCTTTTGTGGTCCAATGTACTTACCCAGTGTTACCATTTCATGAACACAGATCATGTAAGATGCCCTTAAAATGCTTGTTAAATTAAATTAAATATACGTTTACTACTTTACTTGTTTGTTCTAAGGTGGTGATCTCTAAATCTCGCTAAAGGGTCATTAGAGGAAAAGAAAAAGGAAATAAATATAGAGGAAAAAGGAAAGGAAGATATAGTACATACTTTTTTTCTGCAGGTCTAATCTCACTACAGCCACATTGGATTAAGGTTATATTTATTTAAACCTCAGTTAAAATGGTCATTTTTATAAATTGATTGATAAAAAATGGATTTCTCATGGTGTTTCCATGGGTCATTCACCAAGCAATAATACCACTAGGAGTTTCTGATCCCCTGGGGTTAGTGGCTTAATTACACAGAAATTTAAAATTGAGAATAGTGGTGTAAGTGCACAGATAGAAATTCTCCTGTCTTTGAGTGGCTTATAATTAAATTTAATACCTCAGATGGTCCTTTTTGTTTGTGGTGATTTTAATTACTATGTAGATCTGGTAAATTATGAATTATTTGCTACATGTATGTATCTGTGGAGTCATTTTTGAGTTATTGTATTATCACAAATGATAAGATGTATATGTTAACAAGCATTACAATTTGCAGGTGTAACATACATAAAGCAAGACTAATAGTATCAAGCAATTAAACGGAAGCAATCTTTATGGGGAAAAGAAAGGTTTAATTCTACCCTTAAGTGACTTAAACTCTCACTAAATATTTTTAAATGCAATAAAAGCATGTTAATTTTAGGAGTGACTTCCTTATAAGACCTCATTTAGAGTAAGTTTTCCTTTCTAAGAATAGAAAAGCTTGCTGAAATAATTTCTATTGATAACTCATTCTGTAAAGAACTGAAATTTTCCTTTTAAGCTCAATGAAGAAAGCCCAAAATAGCACAGGAAATTTTGTGTGTGGTGAATATATGTATGAACTAAATCCGACTGGGAGAAAAATGATTGAATTATTGATAGGGTCATTGTTGGTCCCAAAGCATTCTGTTAGTTATATGATACTTAAGTATTTTGAGAATTTCTCCTTAATTTGCCTATAACTGAATATAAAATAGAGGAAACCATATTTTGCTTGTATGTACAACTTACAGTCTTATATAAAAGAAACATGCTAAGCATCTAATAATAATTTTTTTTCATATGTGTTTCTGGATTTTTTTCCACTTACTGAATTATTTTTATGCATCCACTAACAAGATCAATGCCTGTATTTCCAATTTAGCTATACCTTTGCTTCTCAGTAGCATGACAGCTGGCTTCACCGTGAATTTAACAAGACCTTGGTAAATACATAGAGCACTTAGCAAAATGTACAGAGCTCTTCACAAAGAACATTTTGGATCTTTCTCTCTCCACCCCCCCCACTCCACACACACACACACACACACACACACACACACACACACACACACACTTTGGTCCTCGCCCTAGAATTATTTAGCAGTGTACTTGGCAAGGTGAAACTTCTAAAATAAAGCAATGGGAAACATTTATAAAAGCACATCATAGACTACACATTAAAGATACGAGTACTGAAGACTTCCGTTCTGTGTAGTTCTGAGGACATGTTTTAATCAATGTAGACTGTAGACGTTTTCAGTTCCCCTCCTGACAGCGCTGCGGTAGAGATTGCTCTGTGTGTGCATCTGTGGGGTCATTTCTGAAGCTAAACTAACACAACCCGAAATCAGCAAGCAGGTTGCAAGAGGAGAAGTTGGAGCAATAACTGGGCATTTTGTTATAAAAATAATAGGAATATAAATTCTTAAATAGGCTATTTGGGGGGGTGATTGTTTTGCTTTGTTTTTGTTTGTGTTTCTGCTTGATCTTGATGCACTGGGTGTGATGAAACCAAAGATGCAATTGTCCTGAGCTTTGAGGAATGGGGAAAAAGATAGTAATATATTTTCATCTATCTGTGGTACGTTTTAACTTCGTATCTTTTTTTGCTAAATGGTATCTATGACAGCATGATGTCAACTGGTTTCAATAGGAGATAGCAGGGAAAACACAAAAAATTTCCCCTTCAAATAAGAAAGCTAAGCGAAAGCAATGCCTTTCAAGAAACGGCAGCGATAGTTACTAAATGGGTTTATTCAAACAAGGAAAGCATTAAAATATTCTTCAAGAACGAAGCGGCAAGTTCAGGGCACTGCACTGTTTTATAGGTGTGATGCTTAAATTTTGTACTCACATCTATATTTGAACCAGGAGGAATCAGTTAAGTGTCAGAGTTTTTCATTTTGAAACAGCCAACATTTGCCTCTTCATTAACCAATATAATTCTTTTCCTGATTTACTTAAAGATACTTATTTAAGACATTTAAAGTGTACATCATAATGATTCGATGCATGTGCACCTTGAAAGAAAGGACTCCCCCCCGTTAGGCAATGAAGACATCTGTCACCTCACATATTCATTTATATATTTTGGTGAGAACATTTAAGTTTTACTCTCTTAGCAAATTTCAGCTATACAAGATAGTGTTATTAACTATAGTCCCCCTGTTATACATTAGATCCTCATCAGTTTATTAAACTGATGAATTTTTCTTGCAATCGTCTCAGTTGAATAACTGAGAAGAATCACTTTCTAAATGTTTAGTCATTTAATAATGCAGACATGGTTATCAGTTTGAAAATCCTTTAAATAGGTTCCCCAAATGCTTTAACCAGCTACTTTTTGCTTTGTCCATTCCCCTGGGTCCCCTGATACCTTTTGCAAGACCAGCTAATTCTTTATAATTAAGAGGAGCACCTATTTAATTTAGAAATATTTTTATACTTCTTAAACAGTAAATATTAGCATTTGTAATTTGAAGGAATTAGAAGTGTGTAGAGAATAATGTTTTCCTCGTAAGCTGCATAAATACAGGCACATTAGGGGAAAAGGTGTATTTTATTTCTCATATTAGCTGTGGAGTAAAAATTGAAAGGTAGATAAAAATTGTGAACAGCCTGTAACATTTTTTAAAAGATAAATGTTACTTAGGCATTAAATTTTTTTCCTGAAAAACTGAGTAACACATTTTAAGATATACTTGAAAAAGTGATTTAATTTTCTGTTAATTAATTTGATAATATGAATAAAAGAACTTATGTGATCATATGGTTCCTAATAAACCAATACGTGTATGTGATTATACCCTATATTATTACAGGTATGATTCCTCCTTAAATGTAATAATTGCTAAAGAAAGTATTTGAAATTTTTGGCCTCACTGTAGCCCTACACATGGTTATATTTGGTTTCAAATTTTATAAAATAGTAACATCTATTAATTGATTTTAAACAGTTTCCTCTATTCTGTACTGTTCGGTGGTACTAGAAATTTGGAGTTTTTCATTCTTTGCTATGCGCCAGAATCACATAGAATTTGAGATGAAGTTTCTAGAGAAAGGCGGTGTAAGGAAATTATAGCCATGTTATATAAAATGAGAAGTTAATGGATAAAAAAATATGAAAGTGAATTATTTTAATTTTCTTATAAGAATTAGATATAAATAGCTTAGTTGTCAGATACTGAAAGTCTGAAATGTTACTGTTTAGGATATATAATTATATACAGACCTTGTTCAGTATTCTTACTAGCTGCTTATACATACATATCCATTTTCCTGGCTACAGCAGTGACTGCTTTGAAAAACATGGCTAGAAAGACAGCCTCACTGATAAGGTGTACCTGTTCTAAAGTTCAGAATTAAGTATCACTTTATGCTTCATTTGAAATAACTGTCTGTGCTTGACTGAAAAAATAGATACCTACGTTTTTCCTCCACATTTAATTTTAAAATGAATATTTTAAAAATAGGAATGAAATTTTCTGTGTGGCTATAGCAATTTGTCATATAACCATTTGCAAAAGTCCAGTTTAAACAAAAATCAGCAGTAAGCATGAAATTTTGGAAAATTAGGATTTTTAACTCCATCTTACTATACATCTATTTTTCTCTTTGCCTTTTTGATGTGATTTGTATTAAATATGAAGGATTTCTACCATTTTCAAGTATTGTACTTTTGTTTTATTCAAGTAGGAATAAAGTCTAATGACTGCGGCCTAGTTATAAAATTACAAAATTCATTTGAAAGCTTAAAACTTGGGTTTTACTTTATTGTATTCTTGATGTATAATACTTGCTCAATGTGACCAGTTAAAAAATATAATTTTTTTCACAGTTAGAGGAGAAAATGATTCCTCTTTATATTATTCTCAAATGTACTATTTCCTAAATTTTGGTTTGGTTTCTCTCCAGACGGTGGATACGGCTGCTGTTTGGGCGAGAGTTCCCCCTACAGGATCTTCTGGTGGTCTGGGACGCCTTGTTTGCAGATGGCCTCAGCCTGAGTTTAGTCGATTATATCTTCATAGCCATGTTGCTGTACATCCGAGATGCTTGTAAGTATTGATGGCCTTGCCTACATTCAAGTAGGTGATCCTGATTTTTAAAAATATGTTCTGTCTTTTAAATATACTTTCTCTTTTATTCTGAATTACCATACCTACATTCTATAGTAGGCAATATATTCAAGTTTAAAAGGTACATACTAAATATTTTTTTGTTAGTTAACTATGCACATATTGGGAGATGTGAGTGATTTTATCCTGAGAGAATTGGAATATTCTTCAGAACCATTTTTCTGAAGACTTTACTCTGCTTTAATCTCCTCATTACACACATTTGTGAAATGTACATATAAAAAGCTAGTATTTCAGATATGTATAGAGCTCCACCTTCTGACAGGTAGGTAATATTCAAGGATATTTATCGAGAGATTGGAGCTGTTTTCTTACAGTATCAACAACTTGCCAGTAAAAAATAAATATTACATTTTTAAATATTCTAACTCCGCAGTTACATTTTAGCCAACTGTATTTCTCAGTGGAGTGCCAAGTGGGAGCTGCGTTGCGTCTGCTCCACTCTCCCGCGGTTGGGGAACCAGTGCCTGAGCCCTTGGAGCGGTCAGAGTCCTCGACTTGAGGAAGACTCCAGAGCGTGGTTTAAATTTCAAAATACCTCAACTTGTTTTTCTTCTCAGAAAAATAATCACAGTTCACAAAACAAGATTTGTAAGCCAAAATATAAATAGGAAATATTGCATAAAGTGATGATGAAGTAGGAAATAAAAATCTATCATAAGTGCAGGACTTTATAAGGAGAATATAAACCATTTCAAGTCATTCATAATCTTGACTGTTAAATTGCTCTGTGGTTCTCTTTTATTTATTCATCGAACACCATTTGTGCCAGATGCTCTCGTATGCCTCTGGTAACACTAATAATTCTTTAAAATTTTAGATTATACTTTTTTAATTTCCCCAAAATGACTTGAGTGAATAAATGACAGGAGTACCACATTTCATCCAAAAAAAATTTTTTTTCTGTGCCTTGAAGGTCAAATACTTTGGGCTTTGACAGACAAAGTGAAAATGTCCTTTTTTCTGAGTCAGAGCTAATCATATAAAGACATGGAAATCATAAGAGGAAACAGCTGGAAAGCAGAGAAGGATGTTTGGAGAGATTTGATGAATACTAGATTTTAGGATATTCAGTACTAGTCTCCCATTTTAAAGTTGTCTGGCTTTTTTAATATAAGCAGTAAAAAAAAGGAATGAGAAACTTCTTTGCTTAGATAACACAGGATGGGACAAAAGTAGGTTTACAGTTGTTCGTTTGGAAAATAATACAATAATAAATAATAATACAAGAATAAATTCTGTGTTTCTTGTACTCACAACTTAAACCTACTTTTGCCCCATCCTGTATTTGCACAAAATTTTTCATAGTAAAGAGCTATTAAAATGTATTCTGATTTTCTATAGTCTTAAACAAGTATTTGCTCTTTTCTTAACTTTGATGTGTCACAAATACATTTTTAATTTAATTATCCTGTTTCCTATGCTAAGATCTACTTTTTTTAAATTAATTTCATGAAACAGGGAAACTTTTGGCAGCTGAAACTCTTACACATTTTTTAAATCTTTCCACCAGTAATGTTAAAAAACATATGGGCACGTGTGGAAAAATGCTAGAATAATGAAGTTGTTTATTCATTTCAGTATTTAGTCCAACTTATTTTTATTTGCTTGGTTAAATCCATAGCAGTGCATAAAAGCTTCTAGAATAGAGTGACTACTTATTACATATCTAAGGGGCACTGCCCCTGTCCTCAAGAAGCTTATCAACTTGTAGAAAGACTAATGTAATTAATTTCAAACGAATACACCCAGTGTTGGGGTTAGTCTAGGACAGGCACCTAGAAGTACAAAGGAGAGGCACTGAGCTCCCCGCTGGACCAGTTGTAAGAGATTAGAGAAAATGGTATAGATGCCCGTAAGAAGGAACAGCATGAACAGAGGGGTTTGTGTATGGGTAGGTTTCTACAAGCTATTTAGCACTTGGTTTCTACAAGCAAAGGGAAAGAGAGACTAACAGGTTATGAGACTGAAGAAGTTAACAGGAATGGGGTCGTGATAGAAGTCTTTATTCTGTAAGTGATAGTGAGCTAATGAAATGTTCGAATTAAAAGTGTGGTCAGTTTTCGATTACTCTGGCAGCAGTGCGGAAAATAGACTTGAAAGAGAAATGGCTAGAGAAGAAAAATCAGATAAAAGGTTATGACAGTAGTCCAGAGGGACAATATGACATCAGAGAAATCTTCAGAACTAAAGTCAGCGTGTCTTGGTGATTAATTATGATGGGTGAGGAAGAACAGGAAGTCTCAAAGGATCCCCAGCTTGCAGAGTTGAGTGACTTGGTAATGTGTATAACTTGGATAGGAACTACAAGAATTGGCAGGTTTTAAGAATGGAAATGATTGAGTTTTGGCCATACCAAATTTGAGATATCTGCAAGAAAGAAGGTTTGAAAAATACAGCTCAAGAAGTATCAATGCTACAGATTTCATTTTGTGAGTGGTTGATAGGTATGTATTAGTTAGAACCATAAGAGTGGACATGATCTCCTAAGAGTAGTGTAACCATGTATCCCAGTTTATTTGGGACAGTCTTCATTCACACCTGCTTTCCAAGAGTAGTGATTGTTAATACTACCGTCTTTCACTCTCAAAGGCACCCCATTAGGATCATGAGAATTACATGGTTAGCCTACCCTAGGTGGGTGCTTACAGAACAAGAACATGCGCAAAGGTGAACTCTGCGTTTAATATCACTGTTAAGTTAGTTTTCACTGTTAACACCAGAGAAGGAAGAGCCAAGGAAGAGCCTGTATTGTAACCTCACAAAACGTTGTTGTCTGAGCCACTGGAGGTCAGGAGTACGGAAGAGTAAGATAAGGCTGGAAAAGTCCGTGCAGATTTGGTCCTGTGGAGAGACAGTTATCTGATAACCTTTGCCTGTAAGATTTTAATCAATATCACTAACGATAGTATTTATTTAATTCCATCTTACTCCTTATTGTGCATATCCATCCCATCTTCTCAACTGGACTGAAAGATCCTTAGGACCAGAACCGCCTGTTATAATTTTCCCCTATCCCTCAGAGCATCTGGAGTTTTTCATGTGCTCAGGTAGTAGTACTTGGGGTGATCTCAGACAGAAGGGTACTCTAGACACCTGGGGGGCGTGAATTTGGACGTAGCGATTGCTGAGAGGAGAGGTGCCCAAATAATGATTTGCAAGCAAATAATGATTTTTAATACCCTTTTCAGCATGGCCTTTTAAAAGAAAGCATTGTCTGCTTTTTAAGTTAAATATCTAATATTTTTCACATCTTTTTTCATCAATTTAAATTTTTATTTCATTTTTGACTAGTATCCAAGAAAATCATTTTCTCTAATTTACAGCATGACATACAAAGTTCTTTGTCTTGTAAAGTATATTAATAGGTAAGACACTATATTCAAATCCATTTCATAGTAGATTTTTCTAACCAAAAAGTATATCAAATGTGTATTGTTTCTTAATTTACCATCTACCTGAACACTTCAGAAATAGAAAAGTTTCCTTCTTGGCACTGCAACCCACCTCCTGCCTTGTTGTTTTTCAGCCAGCGTAAACATGTTACAGACTGTAACTTTCCTCTGTCTTCTGTAGGGGTCCCCGCAGTCACTCTCTGGCCTGGCCTGGCCTGGTGTGGCAGTTGTGTCCTCTTTGTGGTTTAAAACAGTGTTCCTTTTTTTTCATTTCGCATCTCCATAGACTCTTCAGCCACTGCCTGTCTGCCAGTGTTTCCATCTGTCCTACCCCAGAAGTTCTGTTTCTCTCTTTTCTCGTTAAGAGCACATTCAACATCATACTGATGTCAAAATGCAGTTAAGTTCACTACAGACCATCACTCTAGACCCAGGGACTAGAAACAAAGACTTAAATCACATGATAATGAGTCACGGTATTCATCAAAGCACGAACCGGTGGTCTGATTTTTGAAGGAATGTTTCAGCCCTTCCCGACAGCCAGCTCTTGTCCCTCGTAGACCTTAGTTAGTACTGACCGTCATTTTTATGGATGGATATTAATCTGCCCTTTGAGTTTCAAATAACATTTATACTACTTTAAACTTCAGTGCAAAAATCGTTTAAAATTTCACTAACATGGGCTGATAAAGCACATTGTCTTTTTCTGATGCTTAGATTTTTCTAAATAGACTTTATTTTTAGAGAATGTTTAGCTTCACAGCAAAAAGCAGAGTTCCCATTCACCCCCACCCCCACGTACACACAGCCAGCCCAGCAACACGCCTCACCACAGTGTTACATTCGTTGCAGTCAGTGAGCCCACCCTGACGTCCCGAGTTTACACGACGGCTCACTCTTGGTGTTGGACGTTCTGTGGGTGTGGACAAATGTGTAATGACATGCGCCCGTCATTATAGTATCATACAGAGCAGCTTCCCTGTCCTAAAAGTCCTCTGTGCTTTCTGTTCACCCAGCCCTTCCTCCCTCTCACCTATGACAAGCATTGATATTTTTATGGTCTCCATAGTTTTCCTTTTTCCAGAATTTCATGTAGTTGAAACCATACAGTTAAATTCTTTAATTCAGTAATATGCACTTAAGTTTTCTTCCTGTCTTTCCATGGTTTTTTAGCTCATTTCTTTTTAGTGCTAAATAATATTCCAATGGATGTTTCACAATTTATTTATCCACTCACCTTCTAAAGGATATCTTGGTTGCTTCTAAGTTTTGGTAACTGTGAATAAATCTGCTATAAATGTCAGTGTGCAGTTTTTTTGTGTGGGTATAAGTTTTCATTTCAGTTGAGTAAATATCAAGGGGCACAATTGCTGGCTTACATGGTAAATGTCAGGGGCTCAGCTCAGCTGGGTGGGAGAGAGAGACAGCTGAGCTGCTAGGTGTCAGAGTAGCCAATCAAAGCAACAAATCAAAAATGAAAGTGTTAAGCTTTTAGTCACTTACTGAAGTGGTATAAGCAAGAGT